AGCAGAGAGGAGAAAGAGATGGAAAGTCAGATGCCCTGCTTCCTGCCAGCTTTCCAGCTCCCAGCACCAGTCCCAGGGGCTCCCATCCATCCTAAAACGCACCTGTTTCCTTAAATTCCTTTTTTTGTTGAGTGAGTTCCAGAGTGGTTTAGGTTATATGCCACCCAAGGACTTTGACTAAAACACCTCTGTAACTTCCACAGCTGGTCCCCTAATGTTATGCCTTTGGGGCTTCTTCTTTGGGTTTCCCCTGCACATGGGAATCAACTGAGGAAGGTCAGTGCCATTGAGTCTGTCACTTCCCCACAATCTGGGCCACCTTATTGGAATGCACTGTACTTGTCATTGTTCCTCCTAAAGTGTGAAGGCCAGAACTGGAAACATGCTCTTTGGAGGGACTCACAAGTGCCAGGTTGAAAGGTACTGTCATCTCCATTTCCCTCAATCTCTGGTAATGCAGTCTGCACTACTGAAGTCATTTGTGTTTTCAACAGCTACATTATTCTGGTGACTCACTGAATTTGCTGTGGGAGCTTTTTCCCATGAACTACTGTCCAGTCAACTCTCCCTCCCCTATCTGGTACTTGCACAATGGATTCTTCGGAAACACACGAAAGACCTTACATTATGCTGGCTAAATGTCATCTTTTTGGATCCCGTCCAGCAGTCTAGTCTTGAAAGCATTGTAAGTCTGGCTGCCCTTGCACAAAGCATTAATTTTGCCACTGAAGCAGCTGCAAATTGTATGAGTAGGCCTTCTGTGTTCTAAATCCAAATTGTGAAAATGATGATCAATGGGACAAGGGTAAGGACAGACCCCTGTGGTCTATCACTGGAGGTTCTCACGTTTTCTGCACGCATCCACACCCATCACTAAAAGTCGGGTTGGGGGAGGACTCACCTCCCTTGGAGGTAGATCTGAGTGGAGAGGACAGCGATGAGCTCCCACCTCAAGCAGGGGTCTCAGGTTATAAGCATCAGAAACCATTGATGGCCAAAAGGGACCACAGGGGAAGGGGCTGAGGGGGATCAAAGATGAAAAGGACTGCAACACTGCCAAGTAGGGCAGAGAATCCAGGGTGAAGCCTGGGTGTGTTTCTGGATCTTTGGAGAGCAAATGACTAGCTCAGCGGGGATCACAGGCCCACTCCTCAGCTAGGGGAGAGAGGGGCATCTTGACTGGCAGTCCTGGTGAGATCTGGACTTCTACCCCTGCCCTCACCCTCTCCAGTTAATCAGTCAAGGTGCTCTAGTTCTGTTTAAAACTAGCTTTGCACCTTGGGCTCAGGGGCCATACAGCTGTGTTCAAATCTGACTCCACCACTCACCAGCTGTAACCTTGGGCAAGTTATCTAACTGTTGGGTGCTTCCTTTTCTTC